AACAGGTTTTGTATATGTACCAAATGTTCTACAGATCAAGGACAGACAGACTGGGTAACTTTCATATAGACAAGCTGCTTGGTTAGAAACCACAGATATGAATGGTGGATTGTTCGCATTGCGATGGGTTTTATAGGGGTTTTAGCAAAGCAGTAGTGACTGAGAAATGCGAATTTGACTCCATGCATGAATTAACTGAATCTTAATTTAGCTAAAGTGCTAGCTAAAAAGACAGGTTTTACAATATTCTCGGTGAGGACATCTTTTCACTGCCTGTCAACCGTCACTGTGAAAGCAAAGGCCAAAAATCTCTCAGTAAACTGTACTTTGGGATAGTCCTGAACAGTGAAACATGATTACCCAAATATGTAGAACATGTATAAATTTGAGTGCTCAGGATTATTTCAAAGTTGAGCTTGTACTGTTTCGTTGGCTTTAACTATTTTCACCAGGTCTTCAACCGATGTTCCACAGCAGCTTGCGCAGAGCCCATAGAAATACATGGTACAGTAGTGTGCATCTTAGCAATGTACATTGTTCTGTGTTTAGCAACATTGTATCAGCCATCAAAGTTTAATTTTTTTTTCTATGGCAACCAATTGGAAATTGTTTGTGGTCAACTAGAAAAATTAGTACCTAGTACAAAGTACAAAATTGCTAGTCGTCAAATTTGATTGTTAAACAAATAAATTAAGGAACACCAAATATGTTTAAATTTAGCTATTTCAGATGGGATGTCCTTTGTAATATTATGATTGACACTGATTCACTGACAATATCAGATCCACTTTCAATCCCATTCTGCTGCAAAGTGCTGTAAAAGGGTTAATTTTGCTTATTTCGCTGACTGGAAAATGCGCTAAATTAAAACCCAGAATTAATTTTCACTATTTTTGCTGAAGGAACGAGTTCAGTGAAAATAAAATCCAGCAAATACACTTTTCCTCTACATTTTACATTCAATTTGTCATTGAAAATAAATTCTATACAAAATGCACAAAAGCTTTTGTCAGCGAAAACAAATTCCAGCTAAAATAAAGTATTTTCCAGTAGAGGAAAATGTTACTGTTTGAATGAATGCTGAATGAGTGTTGATAATCAGCTTTTTACAGAATGACAAATGTTGTTTTCGATGCTAGATGTATAATATTTTTCATATTTCACTTTTTCAGGTTTTTTTTAGGTAAAAATAAAGTTATGTCACTTGCATTTGGTAGAAGACCAGAAAATGAGTACAGGGAAAATTTGCATAGGCTGAGTAAAAGATTGGCGGGAAATGTAGGAATTTTATTTACAAATAAAACCAAAGATGAAACGATAAAGTAAGTGCACAGTTTCGTGTAGGTAATTGTACTGTTCTACGACTGTAATGTTGTGACTTGTAACCTTTGAACTGTGACCTAGAGTTGAGTTGACCTGACATGACCTGACTTGACCTGACCTGACTTGACTTGACTTGACTTGACCTGACCCGACCTGACCCGACCTGACTTGTAATTAATTATTCGGGCATGCTCAGTTGCACTTAGAAACCAGGAGTTGAGTCATTAATTTTGGTTAAATAAATAAACCAGTCTTTTTCTCAAGAAAACATAATAATTCTCTAAGAAATTACTGTAATTGCAAGTTTGTGTTTATTATGATTGTAAACGAGGGCCACTTGTTATAAGATGCAAACCTCAACTGTGGTACTTGGTCATGCGCACAAGATGATAAATTGCAATTACTGACGTATACCAGAAAGTAAATGATAAAATTGAAAGATTCAATAAGAAAATTATCTTACACACTACACAGCAAAGAACTAAAGTTAGTTTACATAGAAAATACAGAAGATGTGCTTGTCATTTGATCAATAATAATTCAATGCATATCAGGTGGCATTGAAAAGACCATTCTAATGTATTTTACCAGAGGTACATTACTTGGGGTTTGCAACGTGCATAGTTCTGTTTGGTGACATCATGTCAAGATCCCATGTCAAGATCCCATGATGCTACGACCTACTGACATGACATAGGCGGTTTGTAATAAAACAATAAAACATGTATTACCAGATTCATAATGAAAAAATGTATTACATCGAAAATGTACTGAAAATATAGTTATCGTAAAACGGCATCGTGAGCAGCTATTTTGATCCACCTGGACATCCCAGTATCCTAGTTACCTCGGGCATGCGCATTCGCATTTTTTTGAGTAGGAACGCTTATGTGAGAGCGAGATTGAAACAGGATCTTGGTATCATGTCACCGTAGTTGCAAACTGACATATGAATGCAACATAAACAGACTAGTCAGACTTTTTATCATGTCATTGTTTCTCCATTCAAAACTAAATGTGTAGAATTTTTCACTAAAATTTCCTCTATTTTTTCTCTGAATTCAGATGGTTTGAGGGTTACTCTTTTGCAGACCACCCACGGTCTGGGAATAAAGCAGCGTACACAGTCACGCTTGACGAAGGTCCATTAGAACAGTTTCCTCATTCTATGGAGCCACATTTGCGACAACTTGGACTTCCTACTACTCTCAAAAAAGGTAAATGATTCATTAAGGGGATGTCACATGACATAGGAAACCACCTGACTGATAATATATGCTTCTAATTAGTTCCCGTTCGGACGCTGTCCGAAAACGGGCACTTATGTTTTGACCTCCGTGCGTCCGTGCGTTCCAATCACAATCAAACTTCACACATACATCATACATGATATTATACATATGCTCATCAATTTGTTTCACAATCTGTTTCAAGATGGCCGAATGGCGGCCATTTTTGTTCTAAAAATCATCAAAATCAAGTATTTCTTGGCTGTTTACAGAGTGGTTTTGTTCAAACTTGGTATATACATTGGACATTATAGGACCTTGATGCACATCTTTTTGTTTTCAGATAAGATTAAGAACGTTGTGTCGTCACCGGAAGCGCTGTCCCAGCACAAACCTGTGTCATATGACGCCTTACTAGCCGGTTTTGGCTAAAATAGCGCTCCACTGTCTCTTTACACTAGTGTTTATACACGGAACTTGATAATTTTTTTCCCAATTTAAGTTGCTTTTTAATCGCGTATATTTTAGTGAAATATTGTTTATTGAGTGAAATATTAATGTCATAAATAATTAAATCGTGGAAATAACAGAAACTAACACATGATAACAATAATAAAATTTGTGTTTGAAGTTCGAAAGTACTTGCGTAATTTCCGGTTTCAACTAGTTCGAAAATAGAACATCCTTGAACGCGATACAATTACGCGTAGAACTCCTTCTGAACCAGACAGTAGCAGCCGTAAACTCATTGCAAATTTGTGCAATTTGGGTCCAGTTTGACCATACAATATTTCTAATTTTCATTTATCATTATTTAATACGTGCCAATTGACGATTGACTTCAAAACGTTCGAAGTTTCGAACAAACTCCCGACACACCTTGCGCGATATGCGTCAGATCAGTGTAGAAGACGCCGACCTGCAGCATCAATGGATTAAGAATGGCCGACTTGCGCCCATTTCGTTTTAATGAATGTGGTTCTAGTGCCATACCTCAGGCTTGCTTTGACTGATTATGTCATAGATATACAGATTTATTGGTTTGATGATTCTATTAAAAATGGCCGAAAGGTGGCCATTTTTGTGCTAAAAAATCATCAAAATCAAGCACTTCCCAGCTGTTTACAGATGGATTTTGTTCAAACCTAGTATATACGTTGGACATTATAGGACCTTCATGCACATCATTTTGTTTTTCAGATACATGTAAGACTCAAAATGGCCGACTGGCAGCCATTTTGTTTTAATGAATGTGGTTCTAGTGCTATATCTCTGACTTGCTTACACTGATTATGTTCAAATATTCATTATAAATCATGTCATAGATGTACAAATACATTGGTTTGACGATCCTATTGAAAATGGCCGAATGGTGGCCATTTTTGTGCTAAAAAAATCACCAAATATCAAGCATTTATAGATGGATTTGGTTCAAACTTGGTACATACATCAGACATTATGGATGCACGTCATTTTATTTTTCAGATCGGATTTGAAATGGCCGACTGGTGGCCATTTTGTATTAATGAATGAAGCTCTAGTGCCATATCTCTGACATGCTTTGACTGATTATGTTCAAATTTTATATATTTATTATACATGTATTCAAAATGGCTGATTTTGTTTTAATTAAATCCTGTTCCAGAGCAATATCTCTCAATACTCATTTGACGATCAAATCATTTTAATGTTAATCAATCATCATAATCATATTCCTGACATGTTTATATTCCAGCTATATTACTATAAACAAAACTATATATCTTAAATTTGATAACTAACTGGGACTGTGCCATGCATGGCTTGTTTTCTTCTGCTTTGATCATATCATCACTGGTTTCTCAGGGTTGACTGGGCGAATAGATGATTTATGTCGCTGGATGCAGCGAGAATATTACCTATGAATATGACTTCTAAATATTTTCTCTGACCAATCAGAAACCGTTACCAGAACGAGGCTGCCTAACAATTTCAGGGCGCCAACTTTAATACTGTTCGGTGGCGTTCTTGTTTTGGAATCTTCAAGAGCTCAATAGTGTAGTTTTTGTATTGTTCCAAACTTTCGATCAGTTGATAATAAATGGTGTTAGTCTACAAATTGGACCTGCTCGGCGACGCCTGATAAAATACAGCTCAGTTGTCAAGCCACAATTTTCTGTTCAGTACGATATCTTTGTGTATTGTGTGAAAGGCGCAGACCGAATGCCTGCCGCAGAAAACGAATGATTTGATCTTGAATTTGAATTTCTTATTCATAGCTCAATGTCAAAATGTTGATTTTTGAGAGGGGAATATTGTAAAATACCGCCTGATTGGTCTTCATCTACATCACATGCACTACATGCTATTTGCAGATCAAAACAAACATTGTTCAATCATAAATGACAGGCATGACACATAGTCTTTGCAATAGTTATAACTTCACTATAAACCCTCAGTGTCTCTTTAAGCTTTATTAGTCCCCTTTCGGACGCAGTCTGAAAACGGAGACTTATGTTTTGACCTCCATGTGTCTGTGCGTGCATGTGTGCATCTGTGCGTGTGTCCGAACCTGTATCTTAGAAATGCCTAGACCAATCACAATTAAACTTCACACATACAAACTGTACATCATACATGATATTATACATATGATTCAAGATGGCCGAATGGCGGCCATTTTTGTGCTAAAAAATCCTAAAAATCAAGCATTTCTCGGCTGTTTACAGATAAATTTTGTTCAAACTTGGTATATACATTAGACATTACGGGTTCCTGATGCACGTCATTTTATTTTTCAGTTTGGATTCAAAATGGCTGACTGACAGCCATTTTGTCTTAATGATTGGGCTTCTAGAGCATATCTCTTAAATGCTTTGACTGATTGTATATTCAAATTTTATATATTCGTTATACATCATGTTATATATATATACATGTATTCAAAATGGTTGATTTTAAATGCTGTTCAGAGCAATATCTCTCAATATGGACAAGTTCTTGTTTGACGATCATATACAAATGTCAATCATTTTAATGTTAAAAAATCATATTCCTGACATGGTTATATTCCAGCTATATTACTATAAATAAAACTATATATCTTAAAATTGATAACTAATGGGGACTGTACCATGCATGGCTTGTTTCAGTAATGAATGTCTATCGTTGATGAGATATCATTTAAAATGTTTTTAATACACTGGAGTAGAAGCTGCAAAGCATACTTATAAGATTTAGGTTTGATTGAAATGCGTCTAAACATTCATTAGTAATTCAGGAAGATCCTCCATTTTAATCTGGGTCATCACCATAGCAACAGGTGAACTTTGAATATAGTAACTGATACTATACCTCATTAGGCTAAGGGAAGGGGGTCACAGATAGATTATACTTATTTGAGATTATCTTTCCAAACATGGCCTAAAGACTGGAGTAGCATTTACTTTGATATCAATCTTGTTGCCTTGATGCAATATTAAGTTATTAATCACAGACTGTCTGGACACTTTCATGCAAGTAGTTATGGTAAAGCAGACTTGGTTTTTTTTTTCGTCAACGCTAAATTGAAAATGCTCATCTGTAAATGTCAGTAATAATCACATTCAGACAAACTAAATGTGTGTTCATTTAATCAGTTTGCGTGTTACAAATCCTTCTTTGGTGTTTCATTTTAAACAAAATGGCGCGGCGCCCATGAATCGTGATATTTGTGATGATAAAATTGCAAAAGTTTTCGGTGTTGGTGCCCTCAAGCCTCATCAGGTACAGGCAATCGACGCAGTTTTGTGTGGGAAAGATCTCTTCATAGCGACAAAAACAGGAAGTGGAATTTTGTTTTATAATTTGGTACGTCCAAGCTGATTGGGGGCCTTGTTTTGAGGCGCATCCTACCAGATCTCACTGCTTAAGATACGCAATTAGCCTATGCGATCCTGCACGGTATCGTGTAGAAGCCTATAGATCGAAGATACGGGACCGTGCGATTCAGACAATGCTTCCAAACATGTGACATGTTTTGGAGACTGGTTTGTGCATGTACTTGAATTAGCATATTGAGAATAAAACATCAAGAGAGACAGTGACTTTTTCACTACAAATTCCAAAAGATTAGACAAAAAAAAAAAAAATTTGTTGATTAAAAATATAAAATTGTGTTTGTTGGCTCCAGAATTAAGGTTCATTTTTTAGAAATATTGAAGAATTTAAGAAAAAGTGCAGAAAAATTTGGGTGACAAAGTCTGGTGGTGAAAAGGTTTATGTCTAGAAATGTAATTTGTTTGTACAAAAAATAAAAAAAAAAATGTATAATTGTTGGTGGGTCTGATAGCATATTAAATTGGCATTATCATAGAGAGATGGTCACACTGTCTTCTCATGTAGTACCAAACTGAGTTTTCAATCAAACATTTTAAACGAATTGTCTGATTGTAGACATTGAGTTGTTACATAAAATAGACATTCAGTGTTCAATAATTTAGCATGGCGTGGACATTTCAAAAAAAGACTTCTGTGAACCCTTCCCCCATCACCAATGGCTGAGCTTTCTCTGACCCTTCACCAGTAACCAATCAGCTAATCTTTTAACCCATCACATGGCACGGTTTCAGCTAACCGGCAACTGTCACCAAAGGCTTGGCTTCCTCTTATACCCTTCACTATTAACCAATCAGCTGATCCTTCACCCATCACATGGCACGGTTCTAGCTAACCCGGCAACTGTCACCAAAGGCTTGGCTTCCTCTTACCCTTCACTATTAACCAATCAGCTGATCCTTCACCCATCACATGGCACGGTTCTAGCTAACCCGGCAACTGTCACCAAAGGCTTGGCTCCCTCTTACCCTTCACCAGTAACCAATCAGCTAATCTTTTACCCATCACATGGCACGGTTTCGGCTAACCCAGCAACTGTCACCAAAGGCTTGGCTTCCTCTTAACCTTCACCAGTAACTGGCTTGGATTTAGCCAAACCTTAATTCTTATAAAATAATCATCTAATAAAATAATCAGAAATTTTTACAAAACCTGTTTAGTAAGTCACTTAAGGTAGCGGGACTATTATTTGCATACTTGTTTTCATCTTCTAATTGTGACTAAATGACTACAAATAGACCCGGGAAAGTATATATTTTTAGAATCGCCAGACTTCAAGCTTTTCACAAGTGTATTTTGCATGCCCGTATCTGCATTCTATGACGCGTAACTCAATCAAAGGTGAAAAATTACTTTTTCTGTAAAAAAAAAAATTACGCATTTATG